TAAAAAAATAAAAGCTACCCAATGTTGGTTTTCCTTTTCTCTCCCTGTTTTATTTTATAGGGGGTGGGATTTTCTGATTGGTGAAATGTAGGCCTATATTTATAATTTTCAATAAGTGCTATGTAGATTACTTTAAGTAGCTGAAATTGGTTAGGGTGGGACCCAAAGGTGACCTGTTTTAATGAGGACAGTCACTCATTTGTGTGAATGATATTTGGGCCAATAGAATAGCAATGTGGATGGAGAGTTTATTCAGCATTTATTTTTAATATACAATAATTGGAAGTTACTAATGGTTTGATTATGGGAAAAGAGGAAAAAAACAAAATCAAGTATGAATCAGACTTTTGCTCAAGTAACTAGGTAGATGGATGGCTGTGATATTTTCTGTGATGGAGAAAAGGGGGTGCTGAAGGGCTGGATACGTTTGGTTTAGTCAAGAGTCCTAGTTTAGATGCATAAAATGATTGTGCAGCATCTAAATGGTGATGTCAAGTCAGAATCTGGAGTTGAATGGCCAGAGATGACTGGAAGAGTCTGATATAAAGGTATGGGGATTGGTGAGTCTTCCTTGGGAGAGAATGTGGAAACAAAAGAGGAGAGGAACCCTAGTATTTAGAAGTCAAACAGAGGAGAGCAGTTAATCTAAGGAAATTGAGAAGGAACAGCAATTAAAAAGTGAAGGGTGTTTTAAGAATGAGAGAGCAGTCCCTTACATTGAATGCTTCTGTGCGGCTGCATAAGGTGAGACCTATCTACGGGTTTAGGCAACCTATAGGATGTTGGTAACATTGACAAAAGCAGTTCAGGGGATTGTGAAAGCATGAGCCAGATTTTGGGGAGTTAGGAATGTTTGGGAGCTGAGGACATAGACAAGGCAGGTAGTCAACTTTTTCAAAACATTTAATCTAAAGAGAAGCAGAGAAATGAGCCAGTAGCTAAAGCTGAATATGATGTTGAGGGAGGAATTTTTCTATTAAAGAGCAGATACTAGAGAAAGTGGAATTAATCAATATAAAGGAAAGAAACTAATAATTCATGGAGCCAGGAACCAGGACTGGCTTCCTCCCTGTGGAGCCAATGTAGTCATGCAGAACAGTGCATTCAGATTGGCCTTATACTTTGTTTTATGACCTGCAGGTACTGTCTCTAAATTCTTACTAGTTTTATCATTGAATTTGTTTGTGAGGTCAGATGGGACAATGGCTCATGCCCCAGAGGCTGGAACCGGGCTCACACACTGCTGCCTCCCTAGGAAGGGATGTAAGTTGGTTGTTCCTGGTGGCACCCTGGCCCCTCCTACCCTCTGCAGCATGAGCCTGGGTACTGGTACAAGGATGGTTGGGGATAAGCACCCCCATGACATCCTCAGATGGCCACCCACCAGGCTGGAGTTTGTTGGGTGGCCAGATAGAGACTATCTTCTGAAGGAGGGAAAATGATATAGAAAAATAAGCTTATGTATAAACAAGACAATTGTTGACTCCAGTGAAACTAAAACGTTGTGCAAGAAGAGGAAACTATTCATGCTAAACGACTTAGCTGCACATACTATTTCCATATTCATAATAATTAGAATAATGATCTATTTGAAACTATTATATTAGATACCGATATTTTAGAAAGATAGGAGCATGTTGGGATAAGCCCAAATGACCAGGAAAGTGAGCTAAATCCTTGCCTGCTATCATGGAAATTCAATAAGTAATAACTAAAGCTGAAAAGAAACAACAGTAAAATTATATTATTTAGAAGTTATGGCAGAAACTACCGAATTTATTACCAAAAGAAGTAAAGGTGCTCATTTCTTGGCTTGGGGAGATTGGAAAGTGAGAAATGAGTCATAGAACTAATATCAGTATTTTATAATAGACTTTAAAAAATTATTTGATTCTAAGTTGTATATAGATATTGATATATAGAAGTTTGGTCAAAATAAGAACATTAAAAAGACAGAAAATTTAATCAAAATATTAACTATTGTTATCTTTCAATAATTTTGTTTTTCTTCTTTTTACTTATCTGTACTTTTTGTCTACCAAAAGTATATTAGTTTCATATAAAAATAATCTTCATTGAGAACAAGAAATTGAAGCTAAAGAAATTGAAGGTAAAGTTCTAATTTTATTTATCTTGTAAACAGCAGAGCTAGGATTCTAATGCAATTCTGTGTGACCCAAATAATATTTATCTTTCATCAAAGCTTTCAATCTTCTTCAAAAACCAAGAAGTAAAATTTTCATGGTGCAATATTCTTTCCCATCTCTGAAGGTCCAGAGAGACTCTTTCTATATCAAATAGTAACAGTCTGTGGCTATTTGTCTGCTTTATTAGCCCATGTACCTATTTACTTATACTTACCTAATTCTCTACTTCCAGAAAGAAAAAAGATTGATTCCAAAGATACATACACTACACACTAGAGCAAAATAAAATAAGTTAAAATGAGGTATGATGTATTTGATTAGCTAGTTTAATGTTCTCATAAATACTGCTGAATGAGTCACACTCAGTTTTCTGAGGATGTGACTTAGTCCCAAGCTCCTTTTGTTTTGTTTTTTAATGTGTTTTATTGATTTTTTACAGAGAAGAAGGGAGAGGGATAGAGAGTTAGAAACATCGATGAGAGAGAAACATTGATCAGTTGCCTCCTATATACCCCCCACTGGGTATGTGCCCGCAACCAAGATACATGCTCTTGATCAGAATCGAATCTGGGACCCTTGAGTTTGCAGGTTGATGCTCTATCCACCAAGACAAACTGGTTAGAGCTCCTTTTGTTTTCTTATTTATTTTTTATTTATTTACTTCATTTTGAGAGAGAGAGAGAGAGAGAGAGAGAGAGAGAGAGAGAGAGAGAGAGAGAGAGAGAGTAAGAGAGAGAGAGAATGAGTCTATGTGAGAGCAAAATATCATTTGGTTGCTTCCTGCATGCCCTTTTCCAGGGATCAAGCCAAAACCTGAGGATGTGCCCTGACTGGGAATGGAACAGGCACTCTTTCAGTGCATGGGACGATGCCCAACCAACTGAGCCACACCAGCCAGGGCTCCTTTTGTTTTATCATCAGTGCCTAGCAGAGTCCTGGGCACACAGATGCTCAATAAATATTTGTTGATTTGACTCACTAGCAAAGCTGTGGCTTCTGGAGAAGTGACTAGCTTCTTCCCCCGCTTACTGTGACTATCTTAAAAGGGCATAAGCGAGTCTTTCTTTATAAAGGCCTCCATTGGGAATGCAGCATGATGACCAAATATTCACTCATCGAATTAATGGAAAACTGTAACATCCACCAGAAGAATTGTATTTGTAAGGGAAGCCTTAATTTATTTCTGTCCTTTTTCTTAAAAATGGGCAAAGTGACAGTACATAGGAGAGGCACTGATTCCTTCTTCATTTGGACAAGGTGTACAGAAGACTGTCACTTAATGTTGGTACCTTTGTGTTGCTTAGAATGACACAGTGATTTCTGTTCGCAGATGATGACAAAGCAAATGCCCTCTGACTCTGCTGTTAATTATGCAGCTCCTGGGCTTTGCACCATGTCCTCCCTTAGGATAGCTGGTCTCTGTGAAATTGGTGGGGTGGAGAATGGCAGCTCTCCATGCTTCTGAGATCAGACAGTCAGTCAGTCCTTGAGGTTTGTAAGGTATAAATCCATTTTCTTCATGAATCTGAAGCTATAATGTTATAATAACATTCCAATGGAAGCCCACTTTATTGTGTAGCACAGTAAGAAGCCCTTTGATAGTAAGTAAGTTGTTGGTACAATCTTTCTTAGGAAGTACCTGTTATAAATGATGATATACTAGGAAGTCAACATGGAAAAGCTATCTTGAAATTTTTCTCCAAAGCTTTATATTCTGTGAAACTTTATTGATGGTACTTTATTGCCTCCTTCTTCCATGTAACAAGGGTTTACCACCTGCTACTTGCCCAAGGGGTTCCAGGTAATGTAGATATAAAGATAAACAGGGCTGGCCAATGTCTGTCTTCAGGGAAGTGACATTCTTGGCAATTTGTCCTGTGCAAAGTCCCAACGTCATTTAGCCTAATGTTTTGGCAAATGATATTCTGGGCTGATATTAAGATGACTCACATAGTAACGATTACAAAAAAATCCCAGCAATAATAGTGATACATTTATTGAGTTCTTATTCTCTCCCCAAAATACCTAATTAAGAATCTTTGATATGTCTTATTTCACCTCATCCTCATAATAACCTTAGAAGGGATACTATATATGACCAAAATTTTTCACAGGAAGAAACTGAAACTCAGAAAGCTTAAATAATTTACTTTAAGTTCATAGCTAGTAAGTAGTCTGGCCAGAACCCAAACCCAGAGTTTCATGCTTGTAACCACAATATTATATCTGCTTTATCTTCTAGAATGCTCTTCATCCAAATTTCAAGTGTGTGAGTGTTACAATAAACTGTAAGGAGGGTTTCCCCTTTTCTTTCCTTCAACCCTGTTCATTGTGTAGAATGTTAAGACTGGGGAGATGGTATGAGAAGTAAAGCAAACGAAATCAAAACAGCAGCCCTGGATTCTACAATCAGCATGTTTGTGTTAGAGACTCAGTAAAACCTGACCTGGCTCATCTGATTCTAAAAGGAGAAGTGAAGAAATTCCACCTTGTTCCCCCTGATTCTGTCTCTGGGATAGGTAGATGTGCTATGATAATAACATTAAAACAACTGTAAAAATAGTGGTTAAGAGCCTTGGTCCGGCATCAAAAAGGTATATAAGGAATTTATAAGAGAGCAATCAAACTCCTAGTCTCCTGGTCAAACTCCTGAGGGGACACTTTGCATATTAGGCTATTATATATAGAGATGTTCAAAAGATTTTTATTGAATAAATGAATGGACATTTTAAGCTAGTCTGGAATCCTGTTTTAAACAAGGTACTTCGGGTTAGCCCAATCTTTATTTATTATTTGTTAGCTACTAAAAGACAACTGATAATCACTTACAATGTTCTTCTGTTTGTCTTGCAGTCAACTTTGACCACTTTGAAATTCTGCGAGCCATTGGGAAAGGCAGTTTTGGGAAGGTGAGGATCCAAATGATTAATAGGGTTATGCAGCTCAGGGAACAGAGTCCAAGAATGTTCAGATTACCACATTACTGGAACCACCAGGAATAGTTCAGAGATGTCAGTGTAAGCTTTAAATCTTTGAATGTGGGAAAGATGCCACCTTATTTCTTTTTTTCCCCAAGTTGTACCATGTTTTTATTTTTTTAAGAATCCTATCATGAAAAATACACATATACCATTTAATTTTTTGGAAGAAACTTCTAGATTCAAACCCTGATATTAGCTTCTTAGTGGAGATGTATCTTGAGAATATTTTATATTGAAGTTGGTATTTTAAAAGTATTGCTGTCTACATTATCAGGCATTATATGAACCTCTAAAAATGCATAAACAATGTAGACATTGTGTTTAGTGTTATCCCTTTCTGAAAAGTCTTTTTTGGTTAGTTATACCACTTATGGGTACAAACGGAAATTCTTTGTACAATGTCATTTAGCTTGGCAGCTTCGCCCATTCAGTTAAGTCACTCAAGCAGAATGAGGATGTGATTTGCTATGGGAATTTCCTGACAAGGAGGCAGCTATTTTCTCCAAAATGCTGTTTAAAAAAAAAAAAAAAAAAAAAAAAGTCCCCAAAGGAAAAATAGATAAATTCGTTTGAGAAAGCAAAGATTTAGGAATTGATTTTATACATGGGAGGAAAATGACATTTCTTTACTCTGAAATCAGAACTAAGTAGCAACTTTAGCAACAGAGAATTTGCAAGTGATAAGGCCTCCAAGCCATGCTGAAGACTCATCTTGTTCTGCCGCTCATCACTATGATCCGTCATCTCCCTGGTCACTTTCTCACTCTGGTTTGCCCCAATAGGTCTGCATCGTTCAGAAGAATGATACCAAGAAGATGTATGCAATGAAATACATGAACAAACAGAAGTGTGTCGAGCGCAATGAAGTGAGAAATGTCTTCAAGGAACTGCAGATCATGCAGGGTCTGGAGCATCCTTTCCTGGTTAATTTGTGGTAAGTGTTTTATTTTTTAATATAAATTTTGATTTTTAAAGAGAGAGGAAGGAAGAGGGAGGGAGAGAGATAAACATTGATGTGAGAGTGAAGCATCGATCTGCTGCCTCCTGTACAACCCCCACCCCAGCAAGGGGGATAGAGCCTGAAACTCAGGCATATGACCTGACAGAGAATCCAGCTAGCAACCTATGGGTGAACAGGATGATGCCAACCAACTGAGCCACATGAGCCAGGGCTGTGGTGAGTGGTTTCATTGCACCTCTGAATGGATATACTCCTGTTTTCATCCCCAATACTGTGATATGAGAGTACCTTGATTTCTAGGGTGCTATTGCAAAGTCCTTATTAGGATCTTCCTTAAGGATTTTTATTCTCCTTGGTGTCTTTGACTTGATAATGAAACAAAATAATTGTTTTATTGTCTCTTGCCCTTGAGATCAAGTTTTAATTTTAAAAGTATTGTAATTAAAAAGATCAAAAGAATGAGTACTAAGAGCTTTCCCCTTAAAATGATTGGCAGTAACAGAGTGGTCACTGGTTTGATTGCCCAATCAAAGCACATGCCCAGTTACAGGCTCAGTCCCCAGGAGAGGGGCGTGCAGGAGGCAGCTGATCAATGTTTCTTCCTCACAGATAGATGTTTCTATCTCCCTCTTCCTCACCCTTCTGATCTCTCTAAAATAAAAAAAAAAAACATATTTTCTAATGATTGGCAATAAAGCTGGTTTCCTTGAAGCAAGGATAGGTTCCATGTTTCTCTCCATATAGGGTTTAACAGAGTTGGAGCTACTTTAAAATATATATTTTATTGATTTTTTACAGAGATAAAGAGAGAAGGACAGAGAGTCAGAAACACTGATGAGAGAGAAATATCTATCAGCTGCCCCCTGCACACCACCCCCCACTGGGGATGTGCTTGCAACCAAGGTACATGCCCTTGACAGGAATCGAACCCGGGACTCTTCAGTCTGCAGGCTGACACTCTATTCACTGAACCAAACCAGTTTTGGCAGCTACTTTAAGTGATGGGTTTTCAAAGCCATTATTACAACCCCACGCTTAGAAAATGACGTGGCTTGGCTTACCTATGACTTCCTGCCCTTTCTTTATGTGTGGAGGTCCTTCTGTGGCTGTCTCATCTTGCTCTACATTTGAAGGCAGCCATTGTGTTCAGAGCCCATTCTTAAAGCTAATTCCGTAGGACTGTCATTTAAATATACACGCCAAGCAATGCTTACTTGCAGGCAAAGGCATGAAAAAGGTCTTTATTCAGCAAATACTAATGGAAAAGTAATTGACATGTCACTGTGTATTTAGGGACATTCCTCTGGAGGAACCGGTGCATGAAACCTGTCTCTCTCCTTCTTTAATTAACACACTTCACTTAATATGCACTTTGCTCAAATGCTACCTACTGCCATTGAATAGAAGATGGTTCTGGGTGGCTGGCAGACAGGTCTATTATAGCTTCTGCACGACTGAGACATGGGAGAGTCTAATTTTGGCTCCGGCTCATGCATTCAGCAGTATTTTAGAGGGGCCCATTGAAAACGCTGCCATGGAAGAGTTAAATGGAGGTAGCCCTTTCTTCCCCATCTACAGCAATCATCAAATTGCCCTTTTTCCATCTCTCTCCACCCTGAGAATAAGGAAGTGCTCACTTCACAGGCTCTTTTTGTCCAAAGTCACATTTTCTTCTTTAAAAGTTCACTCAACTAATTTTCTCTTTTTAAGACTGGGAGCCCTTCATAAAGACAGACAGCCTTTCACCCTTTCCTGCTTGTCTCTCATCACTAAGTAGGTAAGGCTGATTTCATTCTAATCTTGTTTTTTCCCCCACCACATGGGTGGGTGTAGCGAGACTTTAAGCCAGCCAAGGTTTGCAGACTGCTATCTGCTGACATGGCGTCATTCCAGATGACTTTCTGTTCTTTGTGGGTGCTGACTTGGTGACGACATGACATCTACCCTGTCCTTCCGTCTTCTCACACTGAATCTCACAGTGGAACACTGAGCGCCATTAACACTGAGAGGAGAGAGGAGAGACACCCCAGCCCTCATCCCATGATTCTAGCCCCATGTTCAGAACTGAAAATTGGGAGGGGAACCATTCCTCCAAGTACAGCAGAAAATCTTTATCTCTTATACCCTGAACAAAAGGTCTTTCTAATAAATGCTGTCTGCCTTAGCTAGTTTGCCTCAGTGGGCAGAGTGTCAGCCTGCTGACCGAAGGGTCCCACATTCGATATCAGTCAAGGGCATGTGCCTGGATTGTGGGCTCCATCCCCAGGGTGGGGCATGCAGGAGGCAGCCAATCAATGATTCCCTTTCACCATTGATGTTTCTATCTCTCTCTTTTTTTCCCTTGTTAAAAAAAAATGCTATCTGCCTTAGTAAGTACAAACATAGTAAATGGAAGTCACTCTTTCCACAACTATTAAGGACCTTGCAATATTTCTAGAGGTGTGATTGTGAGCAGTCTTTATCATTAAGTCACGTTGTTCGAAGTCAGAGTTAATGGGTATGACTTGGGTTGTTTATATGAATGAAATGAGACAAAGTGCTCAGTGCCCAGCACATAGTAAGCATCTTACAAATTCTAGTTTCTTTCCTTGCCCCATTAAGATGACACATTCTGAACATGCCCATCAAAGTACATTTGAATGATGCTTGGAACAAGTCATCATGGGAAGTTGTGTATGGGGGCATGGGTTTTCAACTCATTCTCTGTAAGAGCTTATGCTTGTCTTACTTGGTTTTCCACCCTCATTCTGCAAATCAAACAAAAATAAAGCATCCCCAGTATGTTATGCACAATTTAGTCAAGATTTGTGTCTTGGGTTTAACTGGACTTACTTTTACATTCCCAAAGCTTCAGGAGCCAATTTTCTTAAGAAGCACTGTATAGTTAATAAAATAGTAGCAATATTTTTTGAACTCCTTGTACCCCTTTGTGTGTTCTAGTTTACTGATATGCAGAATATGCTTCTCAATATTGCTTTCAATAATCTTCTCATGTATTCCCAAAATGTCCCTTACCATAGGGATGTGTTCAGAAAATTCTGGATTTCAGGCTGAGGGAAAACACAAATTGTTTCTCTTGTAAGCAGGTTTACTTTGTTTGATAGTGCATGCTTATATAGGTATAAATACATACATATATGGTATTTGAAACCTTTTCTGCTCATGTTAGTCAAATAGAAAAGTGTACAGAATCACATCGAAAAACAGAAATTTTTCAATAATCCTATCACTTTGAAATAATCACCCCTAAGGTATCCTGTGTACTTCCCAGTAAAATATCTGCATTGAGTTTTCTGTTTTTGATCATGCATTAGCTCTGTTCATTTCTTCATTCATGTATGTATTTACTGAGCATCACAGACAAGTTGTAATTAGATAAAATACAGGATGTACGGTTACATCTGAACTTCAGATAAATAACCAATAATTCATAGTATATGTTCCGAGGATTGCACAGAACATATTTTAACTGGAGATTGTTCATTATTCATATTTCTAATTTAAGTGGGCATCTTGTGTTTTATTTGCTAAACCCAACAACCTAATTGTAAGAGGGACTCACACCATGGAGAAGCGATGTCAGTAGGAGTGAACAGAGTGCCTGACCTGCCTGTCTGACATCTCCAATACTCAGGATAGGCTGACATGGTCAAATGGCATGTGGTCCAGGCCAGTGTGGCTCAGTGGATTGAGTGTCCTTCCATGCAATGAGAGGTCAGATTTGATTCCCAGTCAGGGTACTGGGATGTGTGCAGGAGACATCTGATTAATGTCTCTCTCTCACAATGATGCTTCTCCTCTCCCTCTCTCTTCCTCTCATATCTATAAAGCCATATTTCAAGAAAATGTCACATAAATACATTAACTGTGAAAAGGGCATGAAAAGTATAAAAGGGAGTGTGTGTGTATGTGTAAGTTGAAGAGTTTTAGGGAAGGAAATTCACTAGCCTTGGAGCAGCAGTGTTAAAGGTGAAAGAACATTCTGATTAAAATTCAAATCTTCCCAGCCACCACAAACTTGGCCCCACTCTGAACACAGTGGTCAGATGTAGGCCAGGTTATGCAGTGAAGGCTGCCCGGCAGGACTGGCATACAGGAAAAGCAAATAAAATCTTCCTGCGAGGCCCTCGCTGAGGGCTGCTAACAAAGCCCTGGCAACCCACAGCCTGCAAACAAACGGGCCCCAGTCTCGCCGGGCACAGCCTGTTCCCCAGGTGGCTTTCGCTAATTGTGATTGAATCTGCAGCTGCACACAGCTCCTTGGGCTCCACTTTCCCCTACACCCAGCTCCCTCCTTACCCGCTTCTCTGCTCCTATGAGTGGGAAGGGTCCATGTGTCATTTTGGGGAATTAGGAGATGATATGGCCTGTGTTCAGTAAGAGGGACCACGTGTCCTGGGAGTGTGAAAAGGGGGTCCTGCCAGATGGCTGAACGGAGCTGAGTAAAAGGGCTCCCGGGAAGACACCTCCATCATTTGTGACTCAAAACCAGTGTTTCTTCAGGGAATCACAGACTCTGAGAACTCAGGGCAGCCTTAGGGCACCAGAATCAATAATAATAATAACAATAATATTAATAATAATAATAGCATTAGTAATAGTGTTCCTATCCATGGCATTCTACTACTTTTTGGGTTTTACATAGATTATCTCATGTGTTCATCCTAACAATCTAGGTTGATAGGGACTATTATTCTAGTTTTACACGTGAAGAAATGGAAGCTCAGAGAGATTGAGTAATTTTCCTAGAGTCACACAGCTAGGAAGTGGCAAGGCCAGGACTTAACCTTGGAATCCTGACATCAAAGCCTGTGCTCTTCTGGCTACACTATACCATCCTCCATAGACATCTTGTGACTCGTTTACATAATCTTGTGCAAGGAAACCGAGTTTATTTTGTTTATTGACTTTCACACCCAATAAGAATACAGACTCCATGAAGCAGGTATGTTTGCATGATCTGTTCACTGCCT